TTACATTTTTCATTTAACTCAAAATGTTTATTTTCTCAGGAGTTCCTCTCTGATCCATACGTCATTCAGAAGTATGTGTTTAATGTCCAACTGTTTGTAATCTTTCAGCTATCGGTTTTGCCTCATATATTTTGATGCTTTGCTGGTAGGCACACACACACTAAGGTTTGTTCTATCTTCTTGGAGACCTGACCCCTCATCACTGTGTAATGCCCCTCTTTGTCCCAATAACCTTCCTTCTCTGAAGTCTGCTGTGTATAAAATTAATATGGAATCTCCTGCTAGCACAGTGTACCTGTTTCTATCCCTTTGCTTTTAACTGTACAAGGGGCAATCAGAATATATAATGAATGTCTAAATGATGTATTATAGTAAAATTGAAATGTTTCCCCTTGCGAATGCACGTACCCCATCATTCGTGCTGCTCCCTGAAGCATTCCTCTTTTGTGAAGTCTTCAGTTGTGCCGTTGCGTGACTGCCTCAATGTTCTGAATCAATTCAAAAGGTTCACCTTTCACAGTCATTTTGACCTTGGGGAAGAACCAGAAGTTGTAGGGTGCCAGATCTGGTGAACAAGATGGCGGGGGACCATCATAATGGCTTTGGTTTTTGTTTTGTCTTTGTACTTGGGATCAAACTTAGGGCCTTGCTCTTGCAAGGAAGGTGCAGTGTCACTGAGCTAAATCCCTGGCCCTACATCATAATGTTTGTACACGCCTGCCTTTCTGTTGGATGGCACTCATAGTATATCATATTCTGCAAAGACATGCAAGAAAGAGAAATTTCCAGAATCATTTAAGGAAGCTGCAAGAACGATGGCATATGTGTGTTCAAAGTGGAGAGTATTTTGAGGGAGATTAATGGCAACGTATCTTTTACTGTAATGTATCTTTTAAAAATTTAACCATTCACTGTATATTTGTTATACCTTGTATTTAAAGTTGGTTTCTTGTGGGCAACATGTAGGTGATCCACTCTGACAGTCTTTTATTTGATGCATTTAGATCATAGAGATTTAAAATTATTGGAAAAGATGAGTCAATTTGTCACTGTTTTATATTTATCACCGTTTTATATTTGTTTCCCTTGTCTTTAATCTTTCACTCTTAGCTTTTTGTGATTTTAACTCAGCAAGTAAAGATTCTATTTACGTCTTAGCACATCAGTTACACTTAAATTTTCTAGCGTTTGCTCCATAGTTTGCAGCCGACTTTTACAACTAATCCTATTTTCAAGAAATACTATCTTACCTTATGAGTAATTCAAGAACTTTATAACTACAAATTAATCTAAGTCCACCCTTCTGTGTCTGGCATCATTACTGTATTTGCTTTACAGACACACAAAATATATTACATTATTCCATTTTCAATAAACTATGAGATAAATTTAAAATATTAAAGTTTATATTTCACCTTCCGCTTTTCCTTCTCTGAAATGCTCCCTTTCATTATGCAAATTGTTCCTTCTCTCTGAATAGCTTCTCGGATTTCTAGCAAGGCAAATCTCACAACTCTCAATGTCTATTTGAGGAAATCTTTATTTTCTCCACTTGCTTGAAGGATAACTTCCCATGACAGAATTCTAGGCTGGGGGAGTTTGTGCCTCAACGTTTTTCTCTAGTCTCCTTGCTTATAAGGTTTCTCAGAAACCAGATGTTTATATTTGCTGCTCTATAAGTAAAGCAGTCTTTTATTCTGACTTCAGTATTTTTTTACATTTGATATTTCCTGTATTTTATTTTTTAATATGCTATGCACAGTAGTTTTGGCATTCATCTTGCTTACTGCTCTGAGTCCTAGATCTGTGTTTTTGCAGTACCAGGGATCAAACTCAGGACCTTGTGCTTGCGAGGCAGGCGTGGTGCCACTGAGCTAAATCCCTGGCCCTGGGTCTGTGCCTTCGTGTTTGACATTGACTTGGGGAAATTCCCAGTCATTATCACCTCAAATATTTTTTTTTTTCTCTTTTTGGTACTCCCACTGTTTGTTATAATTTTGTAGTTATCCCACAGTTGAGTATTCCATTCTAGTTTCATATCTATTTGCTTTTTATTCTGGAGATTCCTATTGTCATATCCTCAAGCTTACAGATGCTTTCCAGTCTGATAAGCCTACCAGTGGTTCTCTTCATTTCTGTTAACAGTGCTTTGTCTTAGAATGTTCATGTTCCTGCTTATAGTTCTTGTGTGTTATACACTTTTAGTATAAAATCCATTAGCATATTCACTGTAGTTTCAAAAAACTATTGGCCAGATAATTCCCACATTCCCACTATATCTGACTCTGGCTTTGATGCTGGCTCAGCCTCTTCAGTTTGTACTTTTTCCCTATTAGGATGCCTTGCTGTGTCAAAGAGTGGATGTGATATATTGGGTAAAAAGAATTGCTGTAAGTAGGATGTTAGTGATGCAGTGGTAACATGTTGGGGAAGGTACTGTTTTTTAGACTTATGACAAAGTCTGATGAGCCAGCGTCCTTGGGCTATAAACCTCGCAAGTGCTTCTCAGGCCTCCTAGCCCCCTGAGTAGAAACGGATTGCTAGAAGCACATGGAATAGAGCATCTCCTTTCCTCCAGGAGAGTCACACCCTGATAAAATGGTTTCTCTTGAGCAGATCATCTTAAGAACTCACTGGCATACTTCAAAGTGCCTAATGAAATCTCCCTCTGCCAGGAGTCAAAGGGATCTTTGGCCAACTTTGCTATGAGAACCTGGTTGAGCTTTGGGAGGCAAACTAGTAAAAGGCCAGGGTTCCCCCTTTCTCTCTCAGATGGGTGCACAATCAGCCTTCAGCAATTTATCAAATATGGTTCGGGTTCTGTTATTAAACTCTGGCCCCGGAGTGACTCTACGTGGGCTTCTGCTCCAATGAGAGGAAATCTGTCTGCCACTGGACTCCCTAGTTGTGGCGGGAGGTGGGGTGTTCACCCTGTGACAGGAGTTTCCAGGCAGTCGAGGAGAGTTGGTTTTCTATGACATTCAGCTCTTTACTGCCAGGGCAGAAGGATGATGCCAATGTCTTCAAAGCTTCTCTGGACAAGTCGTGATTCCTTTCTAAACTCCACTTTTTTTTTCTTTTTTGATAAAAATGGTGATGACTATGATCACACACTGATGCCATCATAGGATTTTGGTAGCGAACATGTCTAGTTCACAGATTGTGGAGAGAATTTTGCCCAAAAAAGCAACCTGGTAAACCCTCTTGAATACCAGACTAGAAGAAAGACATCACAAAACACTGAGCACTAGGAGAGGTTGTATGACAGCCTGGAAGTAAGAGGACACAAGAAGCACCTACTCCAACAGTGTGAGTCCCACAAAGGGAGGAAACAAGAGAGATCCCCCAGTGTGAGTTGTGTGACAGAGGGACCTGGGATCCCATCTCCCAGTGCTGTCCCTTATGTACCCATACCATTCTCTGGGGTCCCTTGTGGTTGAGATGTGTGTCCAGGCATAGATGCTGCAGGCTGGCTCTGTCCCTGGGTGACCAGCCTGTGGGCAGCCTCCTCTGTGCAGCAGCTCCCTCTGCTGACTGTGCTCTACACGGCTGATATAAGGTTAAGTCTAGGCACTGGGGCCTCATACCTGTTTTGTTTTTAGCCCAGGCTGGCCTTGAGCTTGGTGATCCTCCTACCTCAGCCTCCCATGTGCTGGGGTCACAGGCACGTGCCACTACGCCTGTGAGGGACGTGACATCCAGTGAGCCTCCTTGACTATGCTCCAATTTGCCATGCTTGGTATACTCTCAGGACCTTGGGGCCACCCCTTTTCTCTGACCCCATGCTGGTCCCTGTGCCTGGTCTGCTTCCAGCCTTCCCTCAACCCTGGCTGGGAAGCAGCTTCTCTCTTTGTCCACCAGGACCTCCCAGCCTGCTCCACCTGCCATGTCCTGAGTGACAGGACACTGGGAGGACAGGCAGTGTGTGACTGGCCTCCTAAGCCAAGTGACATCCAGTGTCACAGCCCTCTTTGTGCCATCTCCCTCTGCATCCTCACTGTGGTTCCTGGAACAGCAGCAGCATGGCTGGGGCTGGTGCTGGCACCACCATTCTGCTCTGAAGGTGCAGTCCTTCCAGAATCAGGTCTGTCCCACAGGCACCCCACTGTGTCCCTCCAAGTGATGACCAGGGCCCACTCGGGGCACCACCCCCACCCCCACAGGAGGTCCCTGATGCCAAGAGCAGTTGTCCCCCACCCTGCACCTCTGAGACTCACCTAAAGTGCAGCTCAAATCTGCTTCCTATGGGAAGCCTGCCCAGGCCTCATCCTACAAGCTCCCAGGCAGGCTCTTCGAGCCTGGGGTCTTGGTGTCCAAATATACCATCTCTCATCATCACAGCTATACCCAAGAGCCCACAACACTTCCCATGCTGGAAGCAGCCCACAGCCCAAACACTTGCTGCAAGGAACCCTGTTTCCCCCTTGCTCGCTGGGGAACCCGAACTGCAAGTGCTACGCCCTAAGCTGTTGGGGAACGGGGGTGCTGCCTTATCCTGTAGCCCACGCTCCAGGCACAAGCCGTACTCTGCCAATGTGAGCCCTGCCACCTGAGTACCCATGCCTCAGCAGCAAGCAGCAGCCAGGTGGCCAGAGAGGGCCTCACACATGGCCTGTCTTCAGGACCACAGTGAATGGTCATATGACATGTTTTTTCCGTGGCCCCAAGGCAGGCATCTCTGAGGTCTGCATCTGCCTGTCCTATAACCCTGTGCACGAGAGGGTACTGGAGGTAGAAGGTCTAATGCCATGCCAGGCTGGGAGAGTTGTAGGAAAAGGGGTTCACAGTGCCCCACTCTCTGGGGCAAGGCAGAAGGGCTGGGTGTGGTGAGTCCACCAGCAGCGAAGGGCATCACCTGGTGAGAGAGCCAACCAGACCCACTGGTGATCCCATTAGTCCACCCTTCATGAGTGTAGAGACCTTGTCACCTCCTAATATTGTGCAGTGGGGTTAAATTCAGTGTGAATCTCAGAAGGGCCAGATGATTCAGACCAGAGTGCTGGGGCATTTCTAAGTTTTACTGGGCTTGCAGTTCTGGAGGCCGGCAGTCCAAGAACACAGCATCTCACTGGGTGAGGGCCTGTTGGTTACACTGCTACATGGTGCAGGCCCTGCAGGCCATATCGCAGGCTGCCAGCCCCAGCTTTTCTCTCATGGTACAGCCACTGATGCTGCCCGCAGTGAACTCACACCACCAACATATGACTCCGGTGCTGAGGTTCACAACCTATACCTTCAGCAAACACGGTGTGACCTCAGTGGTGAGGTAGGGGCTCCAAGAGACAGGCGTCCCTGATGGCAGGAGAACGGTGGTGCCCCCAGCCCCAGCTCAACTTGCCTGCCCACATCTGCAGGGTTCTGTGGCCTCACATTGTCCTCCCTGCCAGAAAGGTCCGCTAGGGCCTCCTTCGTTCCCATGGCTGCACACGAAGACACTACAAGAGCACAGTCTGTCCCGATCAGCACAGCTCTCCCTAAAGCTCCTGCCTCACTCATCCTGCAATGAGAAGGCCAGGGCTCCTTGTGGGTGGCGCAGTGGCTCCATACCTGTGGGGAGTCTGGGCACACAGCAAGTTCCTGGGTGCTCATGGCACTCCCAGAGGTGACAGAGGGCTCCTGCCCACTGGTGTGGGGTCCAAAGGATATTGCTGCGGAGGCCATGGCTCCCCACTCCCTGCCCTTCTCGCGAGAACAGGGGACTGTGTGGTACGGAGCGCGGGGCGAGCTTTCAGCATGTCTACTGTGCACGACGACCCGCCAGGGAGCCAGCACTGCCCTTCCTTTTGTGATCATTTTTCATGGGGAAACCGTCTGAATCCCCTCTTGGTTAATCCAAAGAAATGCACTGCGTGACTTGCTGCAGTCACCCTGGAACCCATTCCCTCCAACTCTAGCTTCTGTCCCGTTTCCTGCCCTGCTCCTCCCGCCTGCCCCAGCCTCTGGGGACCCCAGCCCCACAATGTTTCTTCGAGGGCAGCTTCCACTGGGAGTGAAGCCAGTCAGTACGGGGTGAAGACGGCACGGCACGTGTGCTCCATGGACTGTCACTCAGCCCCAACAACTACACAGATATGCCTGCAGCACTTCCGCTAAGGGGCACGTGCCAGCCACAGGAAGACCAGTTCGTTCTGCTCTGGGTCAGGCAGAGCGGACAGGGAGGAGGCAGCGATCCATCAGGTACCATGATGCTGCTGTGGAGGAGGAGGAAGGCCTACTGTCCCACAGCACAGCGGGTGGCAGTGTTCAGAGACATTTACTGGGGCTCTAGGAAGAATTGGGAGAGAAGCACCAAGGGCCCCAACACCATGGCGTGCTCAGATGTGGGGGGAGTAATGCAGCTCAGCTGGCTTGGGTCAGCACATGCACACCGGTGTGGGCTGCCACACGCGGGCCACACACACGCCCGTCACTGTCCACTGAATCCATGAGTGGTCACAGGCCTTTGGAATGTGCTGGAGGAAGGCCTGCCCCTACCTCAAGGACCCTGGAGTGCCTCCCAAAGAACACGGAGCAAGGACAGCAGGGGTGGCTTCACAGCCTGCACTGTGCTTGCCTTTGCTCCTGTGGACTGGGGCCGCAGACAGAAGTAGTGCTTCTGGGAAAGGTACTGCACACAGGTACTCCTGGGTAAAGCTGGGTGGGGCTGTGGGCTGCCCTGGTCATGGGCTGGACACAGTGACACCCAGAAGGTGAGAACTGCTAGAGGAAGAGGCACAGGACTCAGGCAGGGGCTGTGCTGCTAAAGGGCTTCCCAAAGACTTCCGTCTTCCTCCAGTGTCTGGGGAACAGGGCAAACGCAGACTGACAGGGGAGAGTGGGGCCACGGCCACACGAGAGCAGCACCACGAAGGGGCCGCAGGGCTGCACTCCGGCTGGGGGTGCAGGGTCCCTGGGGCATGCGGGGGCCCTGGGCAGCCACAGAACAGCTCAGGCCTCATCAAGAGCTACATCACCAGTGCCAACCTAGGTCAGCCGCTTCATGCGCCGGTTGTGCTTGTCCACGGTAAGGGTGGCATGGTCCACGGCAGTGGTGATGCCATCCAAGGCCGCATCCTGCCGCTCCAGCTCTGCCTCGGTGTCCAGCGCCAGCCCTTTCAGCTTGCTTAGGATCTGGGGAGAAGCAAAAGGACACCCAGCGTTGACAATACACCGCCTCCTACCAGGAGCCCACAGAGTGGTGCTGGGCAAGGTCTCAGCACCCAGAGCTCTGGCCCAACAGCCGCTAGCCCAAGGTGGCCTCCACCTGGGGGCCACTACTTCACTGGGATGTTCCTGGCATGGCGGGCATTCCCACTCCTGCCCTGGGAGCCAACAAAAACTTGACTGAATAGGAAGAACAGGGTCCTTTCTCCTCCGGTGCACGGTGCCACCCATAGGCACAAGCGACAGAACAAAACTTACCACGCACCACACAGCAATGTCCTGACCAGCGAGAGACCTCACACGTGACTATGCCCTGTAACTAGTGACATCAGTGTCAAATATCACAACACAGCACGGCCTCGTGTCTGCGGTGACACTAGTGTGAAGAAGTCCCTCACCACCAGCTCTAGGAAGCAAGCACAGACACTGAACAGCAGGCGGCCCAAGAGACGGTGCTGTGCTCCTGCCCTACATGGTCCACTCCATGTCAGAGCCGCCCCTCTGCTGTACAGACGCACGGCAAGCAGCACAGTGTGGCTCTGCGCCTGTCACTGGTTGCTGTGCTGCGGTCCAGTGGGTCTCCACGGCTGAGGAGGCCCTGCGAGGTGGGGTGTGACCGTGCATGGGAGGCCGTGGGCTCAGGTCACACTCTGTGGAGTCTCCTGCAGCTCTTGGGAGGCATTCTACAACACTGCTTCACAGGAGGCCTGGGTTTAACAACTTCATGCACTCACTGACAACAAAAGAGAAATCTCTGTGGAAGAAACAGTAACGACAACCACTGTGACGGCATGAGCACCCTCCAGGGCAGTGCTGGTGAACCCTTCAGAGCTTCAGTGGCACAGGTGCCCTTGGCGGCATGTGCCCCGCGGTTGCCCCCCTGCTCTAGGGACACCCCCAGTTCCAGCTGAGGACGGGGAAGACTCTGACCCTGACTCATCCGAGCAGTCCTGGCCATGCCCTGCTCAGCCTGCAGGGCCACCCCCTGCATGGCTGGGCCTCCAGGCTCCACCACAGGGGCTCCAAGCCAACTTGCCTAGGCAGGCGAGTGGCGCTGCTGCCCCATCGTGGCAGGTGAACCTCGATCGCAGGAGCACCTCAATCCCAGGCCAGCCTCAACCTGATGGGGAGACCTTGGCCCCGGTCTACATCTGACCAACAAGCAACAAAACAGGCAGGGAGCCCAGCCACAGGCCCGACTTCCTTCCTAATGGCAGGCAGAACAGCCCCTGTCAACGTAGTCCCCAGACCCCACGGCCGTCCCAGACCACTGCCCCGTGCAAACTCCTGCATTGAGTCATCCCTGAGAACCTGGCCGTGGCTCTGGAAAGTATACAGCAGGGTCAGTGGCCCCGGAGTGGTGGTGACCTCATACAGTAGGTCTTTTCCATCTCCTGTGTCGATGACCTCACATGGCAGCTGCCCAGACAGCATCATCAAAAAGAAAAACAAAGCCCAGCCCACGGCCACGGGAGACCAGGCCCTCCCTGCCGCTTTCTCTGGATAGAGACTGTTTTTTCACTCACCTCCATTCGTGGTCAGGTGGGAAGGTCGTCTTGCCAGGAACTGGTGGGAAGGCATGGCCTCTGCCACCCAGCAGTGCTGCTTGACGTCTCCTGACAAGGCCCCTGGCCACACAGCCCCGGTGGTGCTCCTCACTGCTCTAGGTCCCGTCCATCACTCTGAAACGCGGCTGAGTTTACAGCCACACTCCACAATGTCTTGGCCAGCAAAGGGCCCATGTGTACAGTCACAGTGCCCAGAAGAGTCACAGCCAGCTCAGTCTGTGTGCACTCTGAGATGCTCCCACAATGACACATTTCTCCCGCCATGCCCCGTTCCTTTCTTTTGAAACAGGGTTTTGCTTGGTACTCCAGGCTGGCCTTGAACTCTCAGTGATCCTCCTGTCTCAGTCTCCCAAGTGCTGGGATCACAGTTGTGCACCTCCATGGCTGGCTCATGCCCAGTTCTTAAGCAACATGCGACTGAAGCTGAGATTCCTTCTGAGCCATGGACCACAGCCTGCATGATTTGGTCTCTGCACATACGTGAAAACTGGGCTTCAGCCATGTAGACTGTGGAAGGTCTGGGCCCTGCCAGGACTCGGCACCATCTGCCTTGCTTCTCTTCTAACAAGGTGGCAGGTGGGAAGCAGTACATGTCATATGAGCTAAGAATCCTGCTCTGAAAATCCAAAATCTGAAGCTTTCTGAGTGATACCTGGTCCTGAGCATTCCAGAGATGGGCGCTCAGCCTCCATCAGTCCCATTTTTCCTATGACTAAACCCACAGCTCTCAGAGAAAATGGAAATGTGAGATTAAAGTTCAGTTTGTTTGGGGTTTTCACTCTCTAGGTTCCTAAACAAAAGCTAAGAGTTGTGGGAGCTGTTCAGTAAACCCAAAACTGTTTAAAAAACTTTAAACATTTTATCTCAGACCATCCTCAACCAAACTTTCACAAGTGAGAGTAGTGGAGCTGGACACTGGCCCTACACTCTGGGTCTAAGGGGCTCAGAAGAGACAGAGCTACCTCCTAACGTCAGGCACCAAGGCCCAATAACACTGCAAGGAGGACCCTGTGAGAAACTGCACACCCTAGAAACAGAGCAAGGCCCACCCAGGTCTGGAGGAGTCCCTGACACAGCCCAGGACACTAGGCTCTCTCAGAGCGTCTACAAAGCTGTGTGCTGAAAGGCCAGCACCATTGGTACCACATGCCAGGACTAGAAGGGAAGACATCCAAGACACAAGATTCAAAGGGGAGTCAACAAAAACAAATACAAGGTCTCGTATTGCTGCCATTTTGCTTGTCTACTGCACTGGAGATCAGTATGGCACACTTCATGGGTGTGTGACCTTGGGAATCACCCTGGTCCCTGGCCCCATCCTCTTAGGCTACTTTGCTATTCTGCTTCCCGGCTGCCATGCCCCCCAGCAATGATGCTTCTGCCATGGAGCCGGCTGGTCATGCCCAGGACCGCTTCCTCCTGTGAGTTGTGGGTATTCTGTCCTAGTGATGGACAGCTGGCCAATACAGTTATGTATGTACAGAGGCCTGGTCGGCCAGAATGGCTGGCTCTATTTAACTCACATTTTAATGAGGACAAATTACATGTGAAACTGGACCACAAGACCACAGGGCCACCAATCCACAAGGGGTCATCTCCTTGACAGAGACGTCCTGGTGTGAGTCCTACACTTCCATCTCTGCCCTCCTAAAATGCCAAATGAGCTGCCTTTTCCCTGTTTACAGTGGAACTAGAGCAAAGGTAAGACTCTGTATATTCCTTGTTCTTCGCCTAATAAGCAGAGTAATAACATGCACATTAATTAATTTGTGGCCCAAACCAAATGACTGTTTAAGAATGTTTGGATATTTTATTGTATAAATACTAGAAGTACAGGCTGGCTGCTACTCACCTTTTGATTTGGAAAAAGTCCATCCATTTTTAAGCCTTAAAAATAGAACTCATTTCAAATAGCCTGTTAAGAACCTTGGCCTGCCTGCCAAAATGTACTTGAAGTTAATTAATACCGAGAAAATTGAAAAGAGATCTTTACATCTATTAGGTCAGCAGACAAAGAAAACGACTGAGTTAACCTTCAAAGCACTAGTACCTCTGGAATACTGGTAGCCTTTTTCCTTTAAGAGAGGCTTGAAGTAATTAAATAGCATCGTGCACATTCCGTGTAGCAGGGGATGGAAAGAATGGAGCTCATGAAGTCTGGCCAAACCCTGGAAACAGTTGTTGCTCTGTGGCCCAGGATGACAAGCTGTCTAGTCATCAGTGCCAATGCTGCCAGCCTCTGCGATACCCAGGGGCCTCTCCAGGAGCCCTCGCTGGCAGTGAGTCAAAGACCAGCTTCAAAACGGACACTGCCCAAGTCCCCAGCACACTGATAAACAAACACAGTAACCAGGAAGCTGCACCTATGTAGAAACTACCTGGCTACACGTGCTTTGGGCTACAGGAGAAAGGACCTGACTGCACACAGCAGAGGCAGGACAGAGAGAAACATGGCTGGGAGTGTTGGGGAAGCTTGGAAGAAACTGCAGGGGTGCGGAGGGCACTTCCGCTTATGGCAGTCGGGGTGCGCATGCATGGTAGGTGGCAAGCTCTGCTATCCATGAACAACAGGAGCTGGGTTCCCTCAGCATCTGTGGCAGGGAATAAGGGATGGCCTGGGTGACTCAGGCAGAAGTGGAGACGCAAGTTGAGCAAACAGACTCTGTGAAGGACGCCCACAGAGGGCATGAGCTGCCCTGATCCTCAGGGTGGCTCAAGGACCACGTTCTTCCTTTGTAGCTCTGGGCTCTCCAGCCCTCCCAGCTCCTTGGGTCCCTCAGGATGTGTGGAACAAGAGCCCAGCCCTCCGTGGAACAAGCAACATCCTTGTGCCAGGTGCACCAAGAGCAGAGAAGGTAAGCTCAGCCTCTGTGCCACTTCCACGTTTGTGAGGTGGGAAGTAATCACGGAGACAGAGTGCACCGAGGCGTGTGGTGTCCTCATCAGACAGCCAGCTACACACACACACACCATTAGGCCAGGCTGTGTGCCAGCAGCCTGTCACGTGCCGGATTCAGGGGAGGGTACACCCCATGCTCCCAGACACACAGATCTGCACAAGGACATGCTCTTGCCCTGCCACACTGCCCAGGACCCCCGGCACGGCCATGTGACACTCGTGCTGCAGGGAGGCAGCATCAGCAGGCTGTCTGCCCTATGCAGGGTTATGCTGACTCACCCAGAACAGAGCTCTCCTGCAGTGAAAAATGAGCAACCAGTTAGGCAGAGCTGGGATAAATCAAGCTGTCTGCAGCTCTGAATGGCTCTACCGGGAGGGCTGTCCTTCACTATAGGAAGGTGAGGAGGGAAAGTCCCTCTCCCGCAGCACAGCAGGAGGTGGCAGGGACATTCTGCTGTGACACTCAATGTGGTACTCCTGGACCACCCCTTCCTGGTCCA